ATTCCTTATTAGAGTGAGTATCTAGGTAGAGCAGTGTCTGCTGGGGAATCAGCCTAGTCTCAGGTCCAGGCTGACTCTCTTTCTTTTCAGCCTGAGCACAAAACACTAGCCTTCCATGTTCTACTCACCAGTCAGTAGTGAGGAACAGAGAGCAGTGAAGAAGGTGAGTGTGTGTGTTTGTGCATAGAGGCCCTCCCTGTCCACGCTCTCAGACTAATTACTGCAGCATATGTGCATCACCTGTGAGGGGCCTGCAGGCAGTCCTGAAGGCTTCCCCCCAGCACTGCGTCTACCTATCCTGCTCAAACCCTGCTCGCTGGACACAGCACACAGTAGTGTAAAGCACTCCTGACAGCAACACATAAGCCTATGAAACCATGAGGCTACGCTCATGAAAAGGGGGAAATCAAGAGAAAAGGAAGAAGACGGCCAGCACTGAGAAAGTCTGCGAGCCGGCTACCCTTGAAGCTGTGGCAGAACTTGTTCCTGTTGATTGATGAAAGCCCTGGCTGTAATGGCATCCACATGTGACAATTCGAGGATATTAAAGGCGCAAACTCTTCTGCTTCACCTGCTGCCGTCCAGCTGAGAGCAAAGTGGTCATTATCCCGCCGCATTCTGCTATGGCGCTCCCTGCGGTTCAGAGTCTGCTCAATTATCTCCTCCACGCGCGCCCAGCCTGACAGGCATGTTGGCAGGTGTGTCCTTTCCATCGTGTTCACCTCTCCGGATACAGGATTAGAGTGCAGACTGGGGATCGACTTGCGCCGCCGCTCTGGAGCTGTTACCGGCCTGCCCTTTCCTGGCCAGCCGAATGGAAGGGAACAAAAGAGCAAATGCTTTCCTCAGAAGATGGAGCGAGAGAACACAGTAAGAGAGCCCCTGGCCCTATGGAAGATGTGCTTGGCCTTGAATAACCCCCAGAAGTGGGGTGGAGATGTGAGACTAACCTCTTGCATAGGGTTATTATAGTGCAGGAGAAAGGCAACTAGGATGTAATCACTAGCAATCTCAGCCCTGCCAACTTCTAAGAGTTATGTCCATTTCGACTGCCAAAACAAAGGACAGGCTTTTTCCCTATTACCAGGAGGGCTATTTACAAGGAACAAGCAAGTGTGCACCATGCCATAAATTCCTTAGCACTCTGCCACCACAGACGCACAGCATTAGTGCATCAAACAACACAATTCATTTTGCCATCTTTGAAGGGAATTCAAATTTGAGCCTCTGAAAACAAGACATTCAATAACACAGGCTTTATTCTGCCACAAGGACAGGGCAGGGGCATCGTCATGGCGACAGCTTTGAGAGGATGAGAGACACAGTTAACATTGTCATTTTCGGCATGTAAAACAGCTTCGCATCAGTGCCAGCTAAGTTCATGTCAAACAGGGGCTTAGATTTACGGGTGAGGAGAGAGAGAGTGTGTAGGAGAGTGAGTGAGAGAGAGAGAAAGAGAGAGAGAGAGAGAGGGAGAGGAAGGGGAGAAAAGCCTTCAGTAAGCCCTTGCTTAATTTTGGCTTCGCATACGGTACTTGCGGCTTTCTATTCATACGTTTCTAAAGCCTGCTATTCATTTTACAGGCTTTGTTTCATTAAAGACGACTGTCTCTTCAGCATTCAAAAGACAAAATTTTAGACATAATTCATGAATTGGTATTATCAAAGTTGAAGCAGACATTTGGTTAAAGTACATGGAAAATGAAAATCACTATTTCTCATCCCGCATGAAAGGGGAAGTATCAAACCAACTGAACCCAAATGAGAAACAGAAAGGGAAAAGGGTTTTTTTTTCGATTTCATAATTGCAAAGTTGAACAACCTTGCTTCGCAGTTGGCTAGCGCACAGTAATTTCATATCTGACGGGATCTGACACACCACAAAGAGCAGTTCCTCTACACCTGGCTTCTTACTGATGCTCTTGCTGTCGGGTTACTTAAGACACGTCACCGAGTGGCTGGCTGAGATATACAGGCCCTGTGTTTACTGAGCCTCAACTTACCGTGCAGCGGCGAACAAAGGATGATGAAATAACAAAAAGAAGCGAAGTGTGTTCAATCATCCTGTTTGGAAATGAAGAGGAGAGTGAAGAGTATGCTTGGATGGAGCAATACGAGAGAGGACTCAGAGAGGGAGGGAGAGAGATATTGAGAGAAAGAGAGGGAGGCACCAGACCATGTGAACAGGCTCTCTCCATCAGCATTCACCTGGGATTCCTGTGGTCTAATGGAAGGAGAGGGATTGGACGAAAGGTCCTCTCCATTTACTGCTATGAAAACACAGTGACAAGGTATTGATGAATCAGGCAGGGGGCCGCAGGGCTGGGTGGGGATGGCAGTAAATACTGTACATGCTGGTTCAGGTGAAAGAGGAGCGATTAATAGCGGGCGCAAGCGTCAGGGCTATAGAGCCGGTGGATGACAGGGACTCTAACACGCTGATAAGGATTTGATCTATCTGACCTGGAGAGCCATGTTTTTCCTCAGTCGCTGCGTGATTCATATTCCGGATGCAGCTGCGCCCAACAGCACCTCACGCCACACCAAACAGGGTGGGCATTACCGGTGGAATTTTTCACCCACCCACCGCCCCCTCATGTTTCTATCCCGGTGACGGAAGAGATGGCTAGCAAAACAGGCAATACAACAAAAAATACTCAAATGGGACTACTTTCTGTGGTAATGTGCTAGCTACTCTTCACTGCTTTCTGTTCCACTAAGGAATCTTGCCCACCCTGTCACCCCCCCCCGACATCAGCTGAAAACCTCACTTATTCCTTGAACAGCTTGTTGCTAGGCTACACCAGAGAGAGTAAAAAAGACTGTTATCAGAGAAGAGAGAAATCTCCCAAACAGTGAAAGTAGCGCACCCAAGAAAATAAGATGGTAAACAGAGTATGTGCTTGAGCTACAAAAGAAAACCACATAAAAATGGACACTTGGCGACAAGATGCAAATGAGTGATTGTTCAGAGAGGGGCACACGCATGCTTTTCTCTCTGCATGCATGCGCTCCTTTCCCAGGTGCAAGGCTCCCTTCGATAAACAATGTGGTTTAGCTCCTGACAGCCACGATATCATAGGCTTGCATAACGCACTTCCAAAATGTTTTCTTTTGTGTGTGTTTTATCGCCAGATCAATATGTCTCTCTTGCTGAAGACAGAAGTGTGAAATGGTATTTCCAACACAAACAAGGCTCTTAACGTTACGAGAAATGCATGTTTGCAACAGGTCAGGACATCAATTCCACAGCCAGATTAAAGAATAGAAAAGCACAGCTGACATTTCACAAACGAGGCGTTTCACGTCCATTCAGATAATAAGGACAGAAAGTGGTAGCATGTGCATATGACTAAAACCAGCCTGTCTTCTTCTACACGTACTTATACAAACTCTCTGAAGCAATGATTAGGTTACACAGATATATGAAGCAGGGCATTTCAAATCACTTTGTGCACTGTGATAAAAATCTTGTCTCACCTTCTGTTCTTTTGATTCCAAAAGTGCTTTCTGAAGACTTGGAAATTGCGCTAGATTTTTCGGTTGCTTCCAGTAATTCCATGTGATACATCAGTGCCTGGCTGATCTAACTGCGCAAGGTTAACACTGCCCTTGTGACACAGTATTTAGTATTTATGCTGTGAACTGTACCATTGCTCAATTTAAGCTTGACTCTATGCACTTTATTCATCATCCATATTCAAAGCTGGATTATGTTTACTGTTCAAAGACATCACTTTTGCATTATGCATGTGTACTAGAACGTCTCACCTTGTATTAATGTTTTTTTCCTAACCCCACACATACAAATGTTGACATGAATAAAAAAAGGCAGGTTCCCATATTGAAGAGTTATAACATCAGAATCAGAAGCAGCATCTGTTTGTACAGAGTGTGCAAAGAAAAAGGGTGCAACATGAAATACGACTGTGTTAATTAAATTACCTGAGGCATGTCATCAAGCAGAAAGACGACATGATTGCAGACTATTATTGAATCCTTTTGTACTAAATCTTACGCGTTTACACAAGCATTTACTGCTGCGAGGGAAGATAAATAGAGCCGTGATGAAATGAAAAAAAGATTCTACCGGTATTGTAAAATATTACAAAGCCTGTTAGCTATGCAAATGGAATCCTTTGGGTTGTGATTTGCGCATGGCGCCAGAATACTGAGGTGCGGTGCCATCTGCGTTCGGCTAGCGAAAGGGGTGCTTCTTCGCTTTTCTCGGCAAAAAAGCAGCCATTTGGACATCATCTAAATTCATGAAAAATGATTGCAGGCAGATTAGGAGAGTGTGATGGGGAGCAGCATGAGGACTCGCGAGGCACACTGTCAACAAGGACTTAGCGACTCATGCGGGAAGATGGATATGTGATTTGGCCTGGAATTACTGGGTGACTGCACCCATTAGAGCTCCTAGACTGAGCTTTTGGCCAAATGGGAGGGGTCAGTAAGAGTGACCGGTGCATGAGGACATGTAGAAGACAGACAGAACGAACCGAGACATTGACAGACACAGAGAGACAGATGGATGGACAGTCACACGGCACAGGATTTTCATCATTTCGGTCATTCCAAACATTTCAGCTGCACTGAGAAAGTAGTTGAGTGAATTTACTTCATTCAAATATACACTTTCTACGTGAAGTAGGGACACATTTTGATAGAAGCACCAAGGGTTCAGCTCATGATCATTCTCAAAGCAATGTTGGCCAGGCAATGAAAACAAATGCTGAACAATATGCATCCTTATGGTAATTATTCATGACAGTTACGTTTCATTGGCTCCTGTCACTCAAAGAGCAATGCAGCATAAAGTGTATCTGTCCCACTTTTTCTAAATTCATCCTACACACTCGAATCAACTAAATTCAACACATTAACTTTTTTCAGTGCATCTCCTGCCTGCACTAAGCTGTGCTCTGAGATCAGCTGGCATGCAGAGCCAGGCATGCTGGGTTTTAGTAGAAGAGAAGAAGGAGGGAGAGGGTACCAACCGTGAGCAGCGGGTTCAGTGCTGGGCGCAGCGTCTGAGCGCACGAGGAGAGGAGGTGTGGTGGGCGGAGGAGCAGTGGTGGGAGGAGAAGGAGGAGGGGAACAGGAGGTACGGCATGCAAAAAAAGGGGAGAAACGAAAATGGGGAAAAAACGGAAACAATAAACAAGCATTTAAAGACAATTACACTCAACCAAGACCTTGCAAAAAGCCCAAGGAGAAAAAAAAACAAAAAAACAACAAAGAGAGCACCAACAGGAATACAGATAAAACTCATCATACATCAAAGTAAATAGAGCATCACCACACCACAGGCAGCACAGCTAGGACACACTTTTTTTGAGGACAGTAGAGCCGCACATTCCTGTGCACTTGCAACCAAAGAGTCTGAAATGGACACACTTTAGCATGATGGTACGGTATGGGTTGCACACTGTCACGTATGTATTAATGCACCTACAGGACCATCAGTGCATCAGTTGATCTTTTCCTAATATAAGACATGGCAAATGCAAAATGCCAGTTTTTCTTTTTTTTTTAAGCACTATAGAAAGATTTTTCAAGATATACCTTTTCTCAACACTTTTAACCCAATGGCCTTTTGGGCCAATTCCTGTTGTAATATTATGTAACTTGTAAACTCAGCACCAAAGTTGCATATTGCTCCAGTCCTGTGCAACAGTCAGAGAACACCCCTCGTTATATATTTCCAGTAAAAACAACCAGCATGTACAAGTTATTCATTTTTCAGGAGATATTTCTGAGGATATCAGATATCAGATATATAAGATAATATATAATGAAAGGCAGAGTCAAGGGAAAACAAGGGAAAATGTGTTTGGGATTATTTGGATCATGATGTGCACTTTGTAGTTCTACAATTACAGACTGTAGTCCATCTGTTTCTCTACATTCTTTGTTAGCCCCCTTTTACCCTGTTCTTCAATGATCAGGACCCCCACAGGACCACCACAGAGCAGGTATTATTTGGGTGGGGGTTAGTGTGTGTTGCGCTGGTCTGAGTGGATCAGACACAGCAGTGCTGCTGGAGTTTTTAAACACCTCAGTGTCACTGATGGACTGAGAACAGTCCACCAATCAAAACTATCCAGTCTACAACGTCCTGTGACCGCTGATGAAGGACTAGAGGATGACCGACACAAACTGTGCCGCAACAGATGAGCTACTGTCTCTGACTTTACATCTACAAGGTGGACCAATAAGGTAGGTGTGTCTAATAGAGTGGACATTAAGCGGACACTCCAGCAGCACTGCTGTGTCTGATTCACTCGTACCAGCGCAGCACACACTAACTTAATGAAGTGGCTGGTCTGGGTGTGTGTGTGTGTGTGTGTGTGTGTGTGTGTGTGTACATATATATATACATATGTTTCCTGTTTTTTTTCCAGATGGCCACTGTGAATGGAAATCAAATAAATGAAGGTTAGTCTTTGACTTTTGCACAGTACATATTGTTTCTGTCATTTTTCTTTTATACATTTGAAAATGCCTCTTGCCCTTTACGCTGTGTGAACATTTCATGTTGAAAGGACCTTTGGAAATGTTCCACAATTACTTAACTATTACCTATGAATAAAGCTCGTCAAATTAACATGTTAAGGTGAAGCATTTTTTTTCCTTCTCCAATAAAGTTGGGAGATATAAGGTTACGACAGCAATCATATATTATTTTATAATAATTACAGAATAACATATTGTAGTAATTGAATAAGCCTGGAGTTTAAGGGGTTAATGAGTGGTATTACTCCAAGTTATTAAACTATTGTGGCCACAGACTTGCACATTCAGTTATTTACAGTCAATTTTCATCATTTTCATTCATTACTCTCAGAACTCTCCCTTTTAGCTTGCCTCTGAGTGCTGCTGCTCTCCTCGCCATGTGTTAATGATGTACTCTGAAATGTGGAGGCATACACGAGAGCAGGAGCCCTCATCCCAGTGCATTACCTTAGGGCACAGCGCACTTCAAACAGACCAGGAAAGCTTCTCTGCAATGCAGAGGTGCTTGTTATGGGGTAGAAAAACATTAGAGATGTCAATCGTTGTCAGAGCATCAGATACACTTTGGCCTTGAAGTATAACAGAACATTCCTAGCTGCCTCTCCAATAAGATTAGACTGAATCTGTTCGTAATCCAGTTGCTGCCTTTGATGGTGTAGGTGTGGTTTACCGCTTTCCTCAATGTTTACGGGAGTTGGTCAGCGGTGGATGGTTAGTACCCATAGCACACCTTGCTGGGGGGAGATGAGGGTGGTGCGTTCGCTGCATCCGGAGATGAAAGGCGGCAGACGGATTCTGCTGCTTGTGGAAGGCACATTTTTCAGGGACTCGCCCGCTTGCCAATCAAAGCAGTCTGGCATGCGACACGGCTCCTCATGCAGTATCAAAGCATGTGTCACCGAGCGGGAGAAAGCGAACGGCGTGTGCTTGTGACGCATCGCAGCTGTGCTCAGAACGAGGGGTCGAATTAATGGTGCGTTCAGATGGACGTAAATTCATGAATTTTGGGATTACCCACAAAGTTGCACTCTAACGGCTGACAAAGCCATGAACACAAATAATAAACTCACAAGTTACCTGAATTCACAAGCTGTGACGTCTTACAAGCCAGTATGTTCTCTGACAGGCTAACGCAAACACGACAGACCAAGCTGGCAAGCAATGTACCTTGAAATTCTAATACAATATATTGTATTTATATTTTGGAATATACTGACTACAGGGGTACCATTTTAACAGCAAACCTATCAGTGACACTTCAGTTTCTATAGGCTATCATAATGTGCATAAATGATTGCAATATTAAGGCTACCTGTACCAAATTGGCAGAATATCCCAGGTGGTATACACTACTTATCAGTTGTTGATGACTACCTGAATGTGATCTGGTCATGTGACAGCTTTCTGAATTTACAAGTTGATGAGGACCGTCCAGACACACCATAATGTGGTGTAATCAGGGCTTAATTTGTGCCAGAACAAGCAACACCTATTTTCCCATATGAAAAACAGTCATGATCATGATCTGTAGCGAAGTATGAAGAAGAATCGTAATATTTTCTACAAACAACTTGATATATGTAACATAACTCATGAAAAAGCTAATTTAAATGTATCATGCTCTGCATGCGTTCACTGTCAACGTCTATTTGGGTGTAGACTGTGACAGAAATGGTAATAAAAACAATACTGACACTATGTTTATCACTCGTAAATATGCCCATTACTGCTGTGATTGTGCATCCCTCAAAAGAGCTTAGCACTGCTGAGCTAAACCACTGGCTTGTGACACTGAATTCTTAAGTACTCATTAACTACACAAAGTTGTTTGTTGCATTAGAACCTTGTTAAAACACTCGTTATGTAGTTATACAGCTTCTCGTAATAGCACCTCACACAAATGTTCTGCTTTAAGCCACACCCATTTTTGTTGTGTGTCTAAATCCAAATACAAACAATTCTGTCTGCTGAACAAATACAAACACAAACAGCAGTCTGCCCTCTGAGCAGCCCTAGTGTGTGGTGTTTGGAGGGTCTGTTTCCTCTGTCTGAGGCCTTAGAAGCTCTGAGCTCATCATCACAGCACTGTGGCCCAGGAGCACTGGCTCCTCTAGTGCCCTCTGCTTTAGGGCCTACGGTTTAGAAACCCTCAGTCGACAGCAGGAGACCCAGATCAATCCGTCCTTTTAGGTTTCAAAATTAGTCCTCTCCTCCATTCACTGCTGCCCATAGGCACCACAGCACATAACCGCTGGAAGAGCTCTTTGGTGCACCACTGCACTCCTAAAGAAAATGTAGCCGAGAAGGGTTCTTGGAGTGATGCCACAGAAGAACCAATTTGGCTTCCAAGTCATGTCAAGTCAAGGTTTATTGATATAGTGCTTTTTACAACAGGCGTCGCAAAGCAGCTTTACAGAAAAATCCGGGTCCAAGCCCCCATGAGCCAATGGTGACAGTGGCAAGGAAAAAGTCTCTAAGAAAAAGAGGAAGAAACTTTGAGAGGAACCAAGACTCAAAAGGGGTTGACCAGAGGAGGGCATCCTCCTCTGGTCAACACTGGATAGCAAACAATAATACAAGAGCAAAATGAACAGAGAATAAGGTTTTAACATTAGTATACAATATTAAAGTACAGAAAAGAGGAAAAGCAGACGAAGCTATGATCTGTGAGCTAAAAGCAGGTGAAGAAATTAGAGAATTTTTTTTTTATTCTTAAGAGTGTAGAGCACATTGCCAAAGCAAGGCCCCTTGAACTGACACCAGTCCAACTGCAGAAAACAAGAGAACTTCTACAGCATCATCTCCCCCTGCAAGCCTTTGTCTCTGTGTGAACCCCAGCTCTACTCAGAGGAGATTACCTTTTGCTAAAGCAGAAAGCAGAGTGGTTATCAAAGATGAACAGCTGGAGCCTTTAAACGCATGCCTGGAACACTCCAGGCAAACAGTTCAAGGACAGCATCTTGAAATAAAGCGCAAGCATGCGAATAGAGGGGAAGGGGATGATCAAAATGAAGAATAATATCTTTAGGTTATTATTTGACGTTAAGAGGAAAGAGGATGACTCCCACCCCTTTATGCTGTGTGCTGAGATTTCCATCTGAAAGATGGTTTCGAGTAGACATCTCCAGAACAGGTGGGGGTGGGGGTAGAGGGGAAGAAAAGAAGCCAGAGGGGATGTGAAGGAGCAGCCCTGATTATTTACTGCAGCTGTGGGACAGGAGAAATATGAGGGATCTGCTCCAAAATAAGTATTACAATCCACTACTTGTTCTCCAACCCCTCAATCATCGAAGGGGGTCCCTGGGAGCCTGCTAAACCCATTACTGATAAAGGCAGCGGGGGCAGGAGCCCATCAATACATGCGCTGATGAGCAATGGCTATCCCGCCTCGTGTACGGCCCCTTTTGTCTCAGTCTGGGTCACCTGAGGCACTGTCCTTGCTGACATCAGCAGCTGATATCAGCAGACATGACGGTGGGCACATGGTGCCCTGGCTAATTGCGACAGCTTTGTA